TTTGTAAATTGTTGATTTGTTGCTATTTGGTGTGTCTGACATAACTAGATTTCCTATGTTTTTTAATGTTTGAGCGGGTGTTAGTTATACTTGAGCAATCTTAACTGTTATGCAATGTAGTGTCTACGCGTTGGGATAAACAGGGCCTCTTGTCTGAATAATAGTAATAGGAATAAAATAAATTTATATTCACACAATACTATGACATTTTATATGTAATCTTTCTATGTGTGTATTATATTTTTTAAAACAAAGTTGTTTTTTGTGTTTCCCAGTAGTCCTCAACCCCAAAAAGTGTTTCTAGAACCTTTGTTATTAAAATTTAGGACCTGATTTTGAGGTCCCTACAGCCCCAATGGCTAACTGTGTGCCTGTTTTGGAGCACTTAGGAATCTAAGTACTGTAAAGCTATAAAATTGTGTCTGCAGTTATTAGCCAGAGGGTTCCCTTTGCATATAGTCTACATACAGTCTGTTCTGCAGGATGGGGAGGGCCTCTAGGTAAAATCTCCCAAGCATGTTAAGAAGAACATGGGTTAGCACAGTTCAGCTTCTTGTAGCTAGTGGTTCCCCCCACCCTATGCCTCCATCTCCTCTCCTGTTTTAGTGGAATGGTGGTTGCCAGTGTCTCTGACTATAAAAAACACCAAACCAGACAGCGTAGATACTGCAAGCCTGCTGGGATTTATAGAGAGTTGCCAACCCTGCCACATCTCTCTGACTCCTAGGTGCAGGGGCAGCCAGAGGGTCTCTGCACGCTGCCTCCACCCTGAGCGTCAACTCCGCAGTTCCCATTGGCCGGGAACTGCAGCCAATGGGAGCTGCGGGGATGGAGCCTGCAGGCAGGAGCAGCATGCAGAGCCGCCTGGCCGCCCATGAGCCTAGCTGGACATGCCAGTTGCTTCCGGGAGCTGCCTGAGGTAAGCACCGCCCAGCTGGAGCCTGTGCCCCTCACCCCCACCCCCACCCCAACCCCCTGCCCCAGCCCCCTTGCACCTAAACTCCCTCCCAGAGCCTGCACCCCAGACCCCCTTCTGAACCCCATCCCTCTGTCCCAGCCCTGAGCCCCCTCCCTCACCAAGCTCCATCCCAGAGCCCGTACCCCCTCCTGTACCCCAACCCCCTGCCCCAGGCTCAGCCCGGAGCCCTCTCCCACATTCTGAACTCCTCGGCCCCAGCCCAGAGCCCCCACCCCCTCCCACATGCCAGCACCCTCCACCAGCCTGTGAAAGTGAGTGAGGGTGGAGGAGAGTGAGCAACAGAGGGAGAGGGGATGGAGTGTGCTGGAGCGGGGCCTTGGAGAAGTTCCAGGGTAGGGGTGTTTGGGTTTGTGTGATTAGACAGTTAGCAGCCCTCCTACCTAGCCCCTTCGTTGCCCTCCACGGTCTTTTGGTGGCATGGAATGAGTGCAGCAGGTACATGGTTTCTAGAAGACCAGCAGTTTACTTCCATGGAGTTTGTGGCCTGACAAGTATGGAAGCAGCTTCTTATGCTCTCTTTCTCTGGTCCAGTCCTAACAAAGAGAACAGTAGCCATTCGAAGTAATTGCTAAATTGTGGAAAGAGCTGTCAGTATAATTTCATATAGATGTGGTAAGCAGAATTATTACAGCTCTTCTTCACTTTTCTTGCTGAACCATTGTGTAGTGTTGCTGTTGTGGGTTCTGATCGTCAGACAGTTGCCTTCTATGCTTTGGTATCCATATTTATTGCCAAAAGCATATCACCTATGCTATGTGAGACCTCTTTATAGCACATTTATTTCTAATGACCATGTCACCATGAAGATATCGCCATAGGTTCCCGCCCACTATCCGATGTTAAAAGCAGCTAATATTTGCAACAATGCCTGCAAAAGTACAGGAATTGTCCCATTGCTAGTTTGGGCAAACACATTAGTAGTAACAGAATACAGAAATTCATCCATCATAACAAAAATGGAGTCTAGATGGATATGTAGTAGAAATTAGCACATAGGTAATGAAGAGATACTGGTGGAAAGCTGTGAAGAGGGTCTATTGTTAGAAACAGGTGAAGCTCTTGAAGGGAAATTTCGAATTCACTGACAAAGTTAGAAAAATATTCACATTATTGGGAAATGGCCAGGGAGGGGGCATAGCTGAAGATGTGAAACCGCACGGAGTGATGTGGAAATGTGTATTCAACAAAGTGATAGACAAGCTGCATGCAGAGATTTACAAATGCCTTCACAATATCATGTTGTGCCATTTTGCTACACTTTTTATTCCATGCTAAGATGTTAGAGGAAATTACACATTACAAAATACTGCTTGGCCAGTGTACACAGTAGTGATCCAGGCAATGAATAGCTGATCCAGACTTGTGACAGATTCTTAGCAGATCAGAAAACCATGAAAAGCAGATAATTTTTTAGGCTGTATGCATTGTGTCTTATCAAAACAAGGAACATGTTTTTCTGCAAACTATCCACAACTCTTTTGAGAACCCCTGTCAAATTTTTATTTTCTGCCAGAAGTAGTCATAGAACAATGACAGCATCTCTGTGTTTGCTTCTCTTTCTTAAAGAGTCTGGATTTATTGCAGGAGCCAGCTGCAGGGTCTGGATCCGAAATGCCCAAAGTTCAGGGTTGTTTAGATCTGTGGCTTTTGTTTTGGTTCATGTCTAATCCAAACTAAATGTCCTTTTTGTTGTTGTTGTTTCTCTACAACATAAGGAATGTTCTTGCAAAATAAAACACTTTTTAATAAATAGTTGGAGTGTTTGTGTTTTGACAAAACACAAAAGAGCTGGATTCACTGCTTGTGAATTTACTCAGTTCACTCGTACACTGTGGGCTCCTGATACAGGCACATCTGTCCAGAGTAGGGATTTAGTGCAGTCAAAAAGGTGAGTGAAGCCTGCCTGGGAGTGAGTAGGGCTAGACTGTAGGGTGATGCGCTGACTCTGCATCTATTCCAATCAGTCTCCAGTGATCTGGCTCTTACCGAGCACTATCCTAAATTCATAGCTGGCCTCCTCTAAAGAGTTGTGGGTATATGTGAATGTCTCTCAGCTCTACCATCCTAAAGCCTTAACATCCTAGTTGCCCTTCAGGCAATTTCCTGCCCTGAAGAATGAATGTCTTTTTGTAATGCTTAATTCCTGTAAGTTGGGGGGGAGGGGGAGGGAAGACATTCTGTTCTGTAGATGATATGGAATTTTAAAGTCCCAGTACTGTGGGCAGAGAGAGAGCACAAATCCTATCCCTGTGGACTGAGTAAAGAGACTGCAAGGGTTTAAAAAATATTTTCATTGTATCATTCATCATGAATGATCCCAAAGATATTTTACAAACTGGATGGGCCAGATCCTGTCCCCCTTTGTGCTGCTTCAGTAAAGCAAAGAGGATGGACAGCTGACTAACAGCTGACTGGGGATTCCCTCTGGATACAGGAATTCCCAAATGATTAAAGCTGGCATAGCCAGCTCCACATTATATGTTCCTGGCCCCATGTGTAATATAGTAGGCTCGTTGGGTGAATGGAAAGAGTGCCTTGAGCTTTGGCAACCTGTGGCCAGAAGAATGGTTAGAGTAGCTCCAAGACTGCTCCATACTGCATCAGAGGTGACCTGGCCCCTTGCTATCCCCAGATTTGGGGAATTGCAATGGTGATATAATGCCTCCTTTGCTCCCTTCCTATCATGTCTTGCACTGAGCACAGCACAGCCAGACCCAAAGATCTGTCTTTACACGTATACCATGCAACACTGAAATGCAGCCACCTCTAGGATGCAGGGCAGCAGTCAACCAATACAAAGCTTAGTGTACTATAGTTGAAGAAAGAGACATTTTAGAAAAGAACTCCTGAAAAAAGTCCTTTTCTCATTAAAAGAGCTATGAGATTTTTAATCTCCCAGTAGAGAAGATAGGGTTTGGGGCTTAAGGTGTCATCCAAAATCATGTGGAAATTTAACACATTAAAATATGTGAAAACATGTCAAGCCTTAAACACACAAAAGCGATTAACAGTTGTGTGTTGAATCTCAGCCAATTTATACCTTGATAGTGAAACATCTGTCTTCCATCCAGTGAGTCTCAGAGCATTGGGGATATTTTTAAACCATACTGTGGTACCTAGGCACAAGGATGAAGGAGTACTACAAAAGCTTTAACAGAATTCCCATGCTGTACTAGATTTAATTCAAAACGTTCAGCCTTATTAATTCAAAATAGATTTTCTGTGTTTAATTCATATTGAAATGCAGTGACACCACCAAGCAAGGGCAGAAATAATCAACTGCCAGAACATACTGCTGAACTCACATTGCAGGCCAATCGTAATTCCAGCAGATATGTAACCTTTCCTTTAGGGTAACAGAAGTTCTGTGGAGTGCTTTCTTCTCCTTCCTTTTGAAAAAGAATATAGCACCAGCCTGGCTGAGGTGCAGCTGCAGGCATGTGATACCAGTGCTAATAGCAAAACATTAATGCAGCTTTCTGCACTGAGGATTAAACAACTGGATTTCTAAGAAGGCAGAGCCAAATCATGAAGTCCTTATGCAGTCATTACTCATTGCTGCCCACAGCATGTAACAAATTGGAGAATTTTCATACTAATCATACCGAGTCTGATCCCTAACTGGTGTAAATTTGGCAAGTTTTATTGAAGTCAATGAAGCTATGCTGATTTACACGAGCTAAAAATCTGACCCACAGTCTCTAGTATACTAATTTATTGGAGCTTTTAGTTTATAGTAAAGCAAGTGAAAATTAAAAACTCGTGCTGTACGGTAGTCATCATTGACAACAGATAATACCCAGCTACTATCCAGTTAACTGTTATTTTTTAATCTAAGTATGGGAAGGAAAGTGGTGGTATCTCATTTATCTCTAGGTGGCAACTATTGGCAAATGTTGACTTTCTAATGGCAACTATTATAGCTGTCTTAAATTGTGTTTCTAATATCAGCATTTGAAAAAAACCATGTAAATAATTAAAAATACAAATATCTTCCACTAATAATCTGCATCCATGACAGATTATTGAGGTGATACAAGCAGCGCTACTGGCAGAAGTACAAAGAAGTATGAAAACCTTGAAAAAGACATCAATCAGCAATCAACCAGTGACCGTGGTAGACAATGGAAATGGTGAGGTGCAGACACTGGCAAAAACTGAGCAGACAGAGCAGATGGTGAAATGCATTAAAAACATTCCCTTGCCGAGTAAGTGCAAAATTTATTGGCATATTCTTTCATCACAACTTTTTCTAGTACTTAAACCATGTTAAGAATATGAGTTCATAATATATTATTTCTCTACAAGACAAGACAAGTGCCCTGTTTCTGACCTACCAGCCTATCAATTTTCTCATACAATTGTCAGGTATTCAAAGGACATCCACATTCTATTATTATCATATTTAAGTAATGAACATTAAAGAAGAAAAGGTGAGGATTGTTTTTGTTAAAATGTTTTTAATAGTTAATCTGATTGAAAACAAATGAAGTAAGTGTGTTTGGAGATAAAATCAGTATATTACAAATTTGAAATGAAGAGATTTTAAAATTTATCATTTTTCAGTGAGAATAGGCTTTTACTATACTAAAAAATTAATTGCTTAAACTTTATAACTTTGTAATGTGATATGGAATCTTTTCTTTTTTAGCACTAGAGCCTATACAATAAGCAATCAAATGAATTTTACAGTTGGATCATTTCATTTTACAACAAACTTAATCGTAACTTTATAATGGTACTAATGTTTATGGTAGGAAAAGATTGAATCTGAATTTATGTAATGAATCATATCCATTTTTTTAGCCCATTAGCTGAGTCTTGAAATTAAGTGACCTAAATTTTAGATCTAATCTTATTAGTGAGCCTTCTCTGAGGAAGCTAATTTATAATCTCATTGAGTGTGTGTTTCTGTCATGAAAATTTGTTACCAATCTACTTATTCCAGGACACTAAAAATGATCAGTGATGCATGTTTCAGGTCACAAAGAAAAATTACATCTTGGACTGTTGTATTAATACAAAAATGCTAAAGCTTTGAATAATTATCACTTATGAAGTTATATTTTGCTTACACTGGAGTTCTTTTTAATCCTTTTATCCTTAAGAGGTTGGGGACAGAATAATTTATGAAAGTCTCAAAGTTCAGATCTGGATTTGGATCCAAACTTCCTTAGAATCTGGGGTTTTGACTTGGTCCATTACAGAGAAGCTATCTGGGAATTTTAGATCTGCATTGAGACATCTGCAAATTCAAGAATGTTTAGAAGTTGGACTTTGGTTCAAGTCCTTGGCTATTTTAGCAGGTGAAAATACACTTTTATTATATAAATTGTGACAGAAAAGATCATTACAAAATGTGTTTTTCACGAATTAAGGTGAAGTCATAATGATAATTCCTAGGGACTAAGGCCCAGATTTTTAAAGGTGTATATATAGATGTTTCTGTGCTCAGCGTCTCCGTGCTTAAGTTTCATTTTAAGAAGGGATTTAGGCATTTAGATGTCTAAATCCCACTATCAATGACATTTAGGCTCCTAAGTGCCTAAATCACTTTTGAAATGAGATTTTTGAAAATGAGCCACCTTAATACCTCTAAATATCTGGACCTAAGTCACACCAAGTCATAATTTAAGTGGACAAATTGTGTCAAGAACAAATCGTGTCAAACCAACCTGATAGGTTTCTTTGACAGGGTAACAAGCCTTGTGGATGGGGGAAGCGGTAGATGTGGTATATCTTGACTTTAGTAAGGCTTTTGATACTGTCTCATAAACAAACTAGGGAAATACAACCAAATGGAGCTACTATAAGGTGGGTGCATAACTGGTTGGAAAATCGTTCCCAGAGAGTAGTTATCAGTGGTTCACAGTCATGCTGGAAGGGCATAACGAGTGGGGTCCCGCAGGGATTGGTTCTGGGTCTGGTTCTGTTCAATAACTTCATCGGTGATTTAGATAATGGCATAGAGAGTACACTTATAAAGTTTGTGGACGATACCAAGCTGGGAGGGTTTGCAAGTGCTTTGGAGGATAGGATTAAAATTCAAAATGATCTGGACAAACTGGAGAAATGGTCTGAAGTAAATAGGATGAAATTCAGTAAGGACAAATGCAAAGTACTCCACTTAGGAAGGAACAATCAGTTCAAAATGGGAAATGACTGCCTAGAAAGGAGTACTGCGGAAAGGGATCTGGGAGTCATAGTGTATCACAAGCTAAATATGAGTTAACAGTGTAACACTGTTGCAAAAAAAAGCAAACATCATTCTGGGATGTATTAGAAGGAGTGTTCTAAGCAAGACATGAGAAGTAATTCTTCCGCTCTACTCTGCGCTGATTAGGCCTCAACTGGAGTATTGTGTCCAGTTCTGGGTGCCACATTTCAGGAAAGATGTGGACAAATTGGAGAAGGTCCAGAGAAGAGCAACAAAAATGATTAAAGGTCTAGAAAACATGACCTATGCGGGAAGATTGAAAAAATTGGGTTTGTTTAGTCTGGAGAAGAGAAGACTGAGAGGGGACATGATAACAGTTTTCAAATACATAAAGGGTTGTTACAAGGAGGAGGGAGAAAAATTGTTCTTCTTAACCTATAAGGATAGGACGAGAAGCAATGGGCTTAAATTGCAGCAAAGGCGGTTTAGGTTGGACATTAGGAAAAACTTCATAACTGTCAGAGTAGTTAAGCACTCGAATAAATTGCCTAGGGAGGTTGTGGAATCTCCATTGGGGATTTTTAAGGGCAGGTTGGACAAACACCTGTCAGGGATGGTCTAGATAATACTTAGTCCTGCCTTGAGTTCAGGGGACTGGACTAGATGACCTCTCGAGGTCCCTTCCAGTTCTATGATTCTATGGAGTTACTCTGAATGTACACTGGTATAAATGAGTAGAATTTGGCTCATGGCATGTTTGGTTGGTTATGACTGTGTTTTGTTTTTATCCATGTTACATGCAGGTTAGTCAACAAAACTCAGTTGAGGAACTAAGTTACTAAAATTTTGGAAGGACATAAACAATTACATATGTTAATGAGCATAGTATTTATATTTACTGTATATTGGATGGGATATAGTCTTTTTTTCACAACCTCTAGTATAGGCTGTGAGCCCGTATTATTCTGAATAAAAGGATATGGTATGAAATAATATCAATTTTGCAGCCATTTAAAGTATTGTGGAGAAACTGAGAACACACAAAGGAAGGGGAAGAGCTGTTTGAAGTTGTACATTATAACAGTATACAACATATTAATCTACTGTTTATTCTCTTTTTCCATTTAGATTTTTGCTAATTGTATTATATTGACATAATATGCATGATGTAGCACAAATATATTTCTAATAGTCAGCAAGGCAGCCAGGCTGTGTATACATTATAAAACTAACTGGTTTTGTGTATTATACACTCTCCTGTCAAAGGTTTTTCTTAGAATATTGTTATAAACAAATCTTTTAGAACATATGGGCTAGCCAGTGATGTTGCTAGAAGTTTATTAAACTGATCTAAGAGTAAGTCCACATGCTGTATAAATTCCATTTTTAACCATCCATTTGATAAAGCACTTCTTCTCACTTCTCATTTTATGGATTGTAGTGTAGTTTTCAGGTTGTATGACATCAAGGTAAGTGCTAAAAATTGTCTCAAGTCTTTAACCCATAATTCAAGGTTAGGAAAATGCACTGTGAAGCAAGTATATGAGTTTTAGCTGCCATTATCATTGTATTGTGTTTTTGGTTTATTGTGATTAACAACAAAGGTCCAAATCCTGAAATATTTAACCTGTTTTTACTCAGCAGATGCTCACTAAAGTCAGTTGAGCCTTTTTTTTTTTTTAGAGGCTGAGATTTGAATTTAGGATTTGACCAGAGGTTAGTATTACCTTTTAAGATTATAGCTTATTATACAGGCTGAAAGATTTGTCTCCTGAACTTTGTGGATATAAATGATAATATTTAGACATCTAACTATTTATTACACTTATTAATGAATTAGAAATGTCATCACTTTTGCCTGCAATTAAATGCAGGCACAATTATTTGTTGCCTGGGCAAAGAAGTCATGTAACATATTGTTTTGAAAAATAATTCTGAAGAATTAATAAAAGAAGTGATTCCAGTAATGCACCCCCGGGAAAGAGAGAGCTGGTCTTTTTCTCTGCCAGAACCCAATAGGTTTTGTATGTGTGTGTGTGTTGTTGTTTGCTTGTTTGTTTGTTGCTTTATCAAAAGGACTCTCCTTCCCTAAATGGCCATGAGAAAAGAATATGAAAACAGGGATAACACTTTCTTATGTTAGGCTGAGGGTTATTCAGTTGGGGCCTGATTCAAAACCTGTTGAAATTAATTGGAATCTTTCCACTGATTTTGGTGGGCTTTGTCTCAGTCCTTTAGTAAAGCAGGGGTCTTCTCATAAGTTTTCTTACATGCCTCACACTTCTGTAACCGAAGATGTATTTTTAGTTTTAAGCCTTCTAGCCTCTTTCCTAAACAAAGTGAAAGAATCCCAGAGTCATTTCTCAAGCAGATCTCCACTGTGGTACTGTATTGCTCTGCCAGGCCAGTCAAGAGCAATAGCTCTAAAAAGTTATCAAATAGTTTAGCTATTCTCCTGTGAGACCATGGGCAAGTCTTGTAGCTTCTTTGTGACTCCATTCCCCAGCTGTACAATGGGATAATAGTATTTCTCTACCTCACAGGGGTATTATGATGGTAGATACATTAAAGATTGTGGGGCATTCAGACACCAGAGTGATGGGGGGGCTGATATAAATGGGTAGATGTGTCATGTTATTCTAAAAAAATGTAAATAATTGATGAAGTGATGCAAATATTGAAGAAGTGCTGTATGATGTTAAATAGTAGCATGGACTTTATTCCTAAATATTTAACATTATTATTGACTGACTTCATTTTACTCTATGTCTCTGTAGCAGAGAAGGCTATAATTTAATGGTTAGTAAATGCTTTAAATATGCAAAAATGCATATAAATCACACTATAAAGGTTAGCTTGCAATAACTTCTGTTTTTGTAGTCTGAAATTCCTGATTTAAGAAAGTGTTAATGGTTCAAGTTTTCAAATATATTTAAAAGCTGTTTGCTATAACATTGTTTGCATGTAGTTTGAATCTCTTCCCTCCCTTAGATAGAAAAATTGGTTCTTGGTGAAAGGAAGAGTTTGCTGGTAAACATATCATTATGAAAT